CAACAGTAATTTCATGAAACCGAGCTGTCAATCATGTAATACGCTGAAATTTATGAAGTCGATGTGACAAAGAGGAAAACTCACCAGAACAATTGCTATAAAAATATTTATAGAAAGGCTTCAGGAAGCTACGTCACAGCAGTAAAAAAAAGTGAGTGAAGCCTAAATGCCAGATCGGGACCGATAATATTGCAGATTCTTCTTTAGATTTTGTTTATACGTTAAGCATTTATCTTGGAGTATTTACTAAGCATAATTTAATCTGACATAGGGGAAAATAGTGGAGCACTCAGTGAGTATCCTTGTAAGAATCGAACTCACTACATAAGCATTAGGTTGAGTGATGAAACTGTTACTAATTATCGCTCTACGGTAGACGCCCTAAGTAATTAGAATTCTTATGTTGGAAAAAGTGCTCAGGAAATGGGCATCAGACACCGTAGGAAGATCGAAAGTTATTGTAATAACAATAATAACTCGTCTTAATCTAGTACAAGTACAGTTTTAAATATATATATATATATATATATATATATATATATATATATATATATATATATATATATATAAAAGCAAATATATGGATATAGATCTGATAGTATGAAGAAAAATATATACGGAAAAAAACAAAAAAAAATTCTTATATACAATTATGCTGTTTTAATGTTAATATGTCAATGTCATGTTGCATTGATAATGTTATATTTATGAATATGTCCTGAAGATGGTTTATTAGACCGAAACGTCAGACGTTGACATATTAACATTAAAACAGCATAATTGTATATAAGGATTTTGTTTTGTTTTTTTCCGTATATATTTTTTTCATATATATATATATATATATATATATATATATATATATATATATATATATATATAACTAGTTTGTGTCGCATTATAATATTACTTTCACATACTTAAACATAGTATGCTTTAAATACACACCATACATAAACTTTATCAGTAACAGTTAAAAAGTAAAAACGACATATAAGGAAGATAGTGTACAAAAATTAAGACCATCTTTATTTTTTAAATGAAAATTACAACTTTCTACAAAGTAATTTTTTCACTTTTTTGTTGGCAATTTATTCAATGACATCGTCAAAAACTATTTAATCTGTCAATCGTCGCTAGACAGGCTAGTATATAATAACATTGGCAGATGAAACAGTTTAATTTGCTATAGTTTAAGTTGCCTCGAAATTGAAATGATCCTTCAACTGTCAGTACTGTCCCGACATTAAAACCACTATTATTTCAATACAGCCTACACAAGCTTATAGCTTACAGCAGATACAAAAGTGCAGCCCCCATAAAAGTTATATCCGGAAAGGAACGCCCCTTTCCGACGACCTCTGGCTACGCCACTGTAATAAGCCATAAAAAAAAGAAGAATCAATCAATCAAGATTCCGTGAGATGTCGATCCCTAACGTTTGTGTTAAAACGAGCGCTTAGTGCTATTTCCAAGCCAGCATAAGCAAATAGTAATGTATAATACAATCTGGTTTGTGATGTATTTTTATTATATTATGTATTGGCGGCTTTGTTTAAGTTTGTCTCTACTGCAGAGTATCTGATCGAAACCAAAATGGCGGTATCTATGAGAAATCGTCGTCTGTCTCTCGGCAATCGTCTATTTCTAGTAAATGGCAATTTAATGTTTTTCCTCAAAATTTGCCAGCACAGTCAGGCAAAAATAATATAACAAAGCAGTAGTGAAAATTTTAGTTAGTTAATAGCCCGCTATATATATATATATATATATATATATATATATAGTCTCGTCAGGTGGTTAACGATGATCTTTAGACGTCGAAACAAATATGCATTTCTGTCGCGGTAAATTGCATGTTCCAATGTTTATAATAAATATTTATTGCTCTACTCTTATACTGAACCCTTTTTTAAATTAATGTTATGAATGTTTGAATTTATATTCTTTTCGTTCTTTTAGATTTATATATATATATATATATATATATATATATATATATATATATATATATATATATATATATATATATTGTTCCTCACCGGTAGCACAACTCTGAGTTTCCTCCATGATGCAATCGTCAGGTGGTGATTGAAAACTGACCGTTATAAGATTTAAATATTGATATTTTTACCGTAGTTATGAGAGTACAGCAATCAATTTAGTTATGGCAAAAAGAAATATATATATATATATGTATATAATTGCAAAAATGACCAAGTGTAAAAATGCCTAATTGTAAGGGCGATGAAAAGCATTGACTATATCAATATAGGACTTCCTACACATGTGCACTTACTGGCGTACATATACACAAATTAAAAAGCGGATAGATATTTAACTTAATATAAAACTAATGAAAACGAGAAAATCAACAGATAATTGCTGATATCTTCTGACGAGTGGACAGAACAATTACAAAAGGGTTTGTCTACGAAAACTCTGGAGTAGTGGTGCTGAATATAACATCAATCGGCTGAGTGACAAATTTTACATTTATATTAATTATATATATATATATATATGTGTGTGTGTGTGTGTTTGTGTTTATATACATACATAGATGTACATTATTTCGAAATCTATCAGTGTTGTCCAAACTATCTACAGCCATTACAATCAAGTTTATTTACAGTTTTTTATTTCTTATGACATATATATATATATATATATAAAGAAATATAGTCTTAAGGTGTGCTATATTTATGGGATAAAGTGCTCAATATCAGAGATAGAGCGTGTGTAAATATAAAGTGAAATCAAGTCATACAATTATGTTATATGCAATCGTCAGGCCTGACGATTGCATATAGCATGAAACAGACTGTCGCCTCTAAGTGTTGACTTCTATGTTCACGTTTATATTTATATATATATATATATATATATATATACATACATACATACACACTCATATATATATATATATACACATATATATATATATATATATATATGTGCGTGTGTATGCATGTGTGTGTGTGTCTGTATGAACATTAACTTCTATCGGTCTACTTAAAACCTTTCGCTACTATTACTTTCGGGTTTATTTACTTTTTTTTTTTAAAATTTTACTTGCTATGATTTATCATCTCTGGCAAAGTTTGAAAACCGGTATTTAAATCCAGATTTTGAAAATTGCTAAGTAGTAACCGACGCACCAATACCGGTTTTTCTAAGTTTTTTTTTTTTTTTTTTTTGCTCTCAAACTTTTCAGCTTTAACTAAAACATCTCAAATATGAGATTTTCTTTTAAAATAATTCTCCAAAAATCTCAGATAGAAGAGTTAATAAAAGAAGAATAGATCTGTGCCAGGATTTTGCATAAATAACATTCTCCTGGTAATTATGTGATCTCTGGCTAAATTGAATCTCGTTATATGTGTAGCTCTGTATTTCTTAAGAATGGAAATAAAAAGCTCAACTTTGTTTACTTCAACTCGTCTTTGAAAAAAGTACAGAAATAAACAAACTGGAAACAATCCTCACTGTATTTATTTTTTTCATTTGTTTCATTTTCTAACTTAAAAAATTCACTCGTTAGTGTGGGATTAGCCCAATTTTATCTGCCAATGGATTTAGCTTAACGACGCTAGGTGTCATAGCAATCAACAGTATAAAACTAAAGGACTAACCCTCTGTTTAAATTTTCGCTCCGGGATTCTCTCTCTCTCTCTCTCTCTCTCTCTCTCTCTCTCTCTCTCTCTCTCTCTCTCCAAGAAAACTTCTTAATCACGGGGCAAGTCGACTTCTTAAGTTCACCAAACCACGTGGCACATTCACCCATACACATTCCATGAATGAGCTCTTTCTTTTTTGTCAATGCACACACATGAATCTAATTTCACTCCTCTTTTCAGCCACGTTCTTCTTTACAGGGTGTTTCAAAAGTTTATGTTACATTTCTAAGATCTTTTATATCATGAACTACAAATGGTAACATAATTGAACTGGTATTATTTAAAAGCTAAAAGTGTTAATTTGATTAACCCTTGCCACAAATTTTGCACAAAAATGCTCGAGATGTTGGAAGACTGCTTTGATGACTATTCTTTAATTTTCATCAGTTCAAACTCTTACAGCTATGACACGCCGTGCAACTTCCACGATGTTGAACTACCTTTATTTCCCCCGTGTTCCAAACGTTAGAAAAGAGTTCGATTCAGACATCTTTTTTCCCATGAACTATCACTTTGTAAAAGAAATTACCGCAGGTGGTGGTGGTGGGGAGCTTCTCTAAACTCTTCAATGTTGACTTCTTCAGTCGTCATCTTATCCTCATAATCTTTATTCCCTACGACCTTCCAGTCATATCACACACCTCTTTCATCATAAACATTCTGACTGTAACCCTCAGCTTTGTATTGGCTGAAATTTGCTGTAAGAAAAAGCAACAAATATCTGGTTCCATTCATATTTAGTTCCAATACAATCACTTTTTTCATACTGTCTAGAGATTTTTCGACTTAACCTGTCATTTGCCACGCGCTGCCAACGAAAAAAAGTAATTTTCAGTTTAAAAACTATAAATAAATCAACTTTTTTTCATTTTTACATATTTTGCTTTTCCAATTTACCAACATCTCTTCCATTTATCTAACACTCATCTTATTCAGAATTACAGTTTCAGGTGTAACCATCTACCTTGACTGGCTCTCGGGACTTGTACTGGATGAAATTTAGTATATATATATATAAAGTAATTTTTCTTTCTGTTACACTTCTAACTCCAGACTTTCATTCTTATTATTTATTATTTCAAATTTTTCACCCATAAATTTATTGACTCGTTTTTTTATGGCTTATCAAACCTTTGCAGGTTATTTAAAGCCATAAAATATTTTTAGATTGTAAAAATCTTTTGGTGGGATGGAGGGAGATGATAATAGTTTACTGATACAAGTTTTGCTAAGCAGTGGATTCATACCTTTCTCAAGAGTAATTGCGGAAAAACTGAATAAAACAAACTCAACGGGGATTATACCATCAGCACATCGAAGCTTACAGCACCTGGTATTAATTATCAAGCGGTCACCCACCTAAGTACTGGTCATGTTCGACGCTGCTTAACTTCGCTGATCGTACGTGAATCGGTGTTGCAACGTCATGCGGCCGTAAATGTGGCACAAGTGTGAGTCGAGAGGGAACAACATCTACCCGATATCACAAGAAGTCAAATGTATGGCAGCACTTTTCAAGAAAACCTAATGTCATAAAATTTTAAAAAGAGCAGGTGTCTCAACGCCGACCTTCAAAACGCATGCAAACACGTTCCATCGATTTTGATAGTGAAGCCAGCGCATCTTGTTATAAGAAACTATTGAGTACCCCATTTCTAAGAAACCTGTTGAAATGGCTGAACGGAATAAATTTACCTTTCAATATCAATACAACATTACTATACTCTCGCTATGGTAACACTTAATTCATGAATAAAAACGGACAAAGTTATGTATAATTGTTTGAGAGAAAACACACCTTATCTTCAGATTTTCATAACATGAAGGCAAACATTTTCTCAAACTGCGAAACATATGCAGATTAACAGATATCAAAAAATGAAGTAAATTATGGTCTTACTTGATAGTTGACGGGGTCGTCATTGCGTCAATGATTTAGCTTCTGTCATAAAAAGCGAGAGTACACATACCGCAGTTCTGACGAATGGGATTTAGTATCTGTCTATATTTCTGAGATGAGGTATTATGTACATTACTTAAATTATTCGGATTATTGTCCTCATCTTTGTCGCCATATTTATTACAACGTTTCGGCCGTTGTACGCTCCGGCCTTCTTCAGGTGGGTGAATGTCGAACTGAACCCTTTATTTCGCTCACTGGGGTAGACTGTTCTAGTTACACGTGCCATGTTTAATGGATGTCAGTTACCATTTATCTCGTGTTAATTTCCCTCGTGTTATAAGGAAACGTTCAGTATTTATTGACCGAGCAGCCAGTGCTAGTTTCAGTTGAAATTCATAAAATTAAAACAACTTTTCAGGAAAATAGGTTCCTCACGTTCACTGTTATCGCTCATTTCAGTACCGATGGGAGTTTCCTTCCTAGCCTTTTGTCTGATGTAGTGCTGAAAATCTTGATTATGTCATAAATTTCTCTTCGAGTTACATGCGATATCCATTTTGACTGATGCTACTGTTGAAAGTCCTCAAGTGATGTGGTTTCATTCGCAAAGTTTATCAATAATGACGCAAATGAATGTCAAATCTGAAAGAGCATGCTCGTTCGCAGAACCACCATGTCATGTCACGTGTTCTCTAACCAATTAGGATCTTAGGGGCACTATATGTATTGCAGCCGTCACACACAGTTGTGTGTCTAGAACAAGTTAACTTGACAGAACATATTCCTCTTCTGATTGGTTCTGAATTCCTTCTCCTAATTTGGTTGACATTCGAAGGGAATAGAGCCCTGCTGTTTAACCCATAGTTGAAGGAAGATGGATTCATGCCTTTTCCCAAGAATTTATTTCAAAGGTTTATTCTCGATTCTTATCAAAAACATTATTTTTTTTCCTTTTTTAATTCACATAATACTTCCAGAACACCAAAAAGTGAAAGAAATTGATGAATTGCGTACGGCTACATTACAGTGAAACATCTGTTTCCGTAAGATCAGCGAAGTTAAGCAACGTCGAGCTTGGTCAGTAGCGCCTGATAATACCAGATGCCGTAAGCTTAGGTGTGCGGGTGGTGTAATGGGTCATGGCTCGGAATAGTTATCCTGAGAGTCGTGTAGTAATTCCCGTTGGGTTCGTTATATTCACTTACGAGCAAATATCCATGGGAAAGGTATGAATCCCCCTCTTTTCCCCCAGCTATGGATTAATTAGTAGGTCTATGAGCACTATACTATTATTATCCCCCTCAAAAAAATTCTTACAATCTAAAACTATTTTCTGCCTTTAAATAACCTGTAATGGGTTGATAACCCGTAGAAAACGAATCAATCGCCCGGATATAGTTTGCACCTTTATTAGTCTATCATTCGTCTATGCATTGAATATTGCTGCCACAACTGCTCAATTGTTTCTGCTATGTATCTAGAGATTCTTTACAAAAATCCAAAGAAGAATCTGCAATGTTATAGGTCCTGACCTGGCATTTCAACTGCACTCACTTTCCCACCGCCATAATGTCTCTTCCTTGTGCATTTTTCTATAAATATTTTCATAGCAATTGTTCGAATGAGCTTTTCTATTTAATATCTCTACTTTATGAATTTAAACGCAGTATCAGACTAGCGGCTAGGTCTCATCATCTTACTATTGAAATTGCTAGATGCAAATCTAAGTGCTATGCTAATAGTTTGTTTTTTCTCTCGCACTTCTTGCTTGAGGGACTTCCGGCGATTTGCTTTCTTGTAAAATACAATCTTCCAAATACTAATACAATTTCAATCGTCATCTTCTGTCTCCTTAAATCCTGTTCTTTTAATGTCGTCTCTCTTCAACAAACGCTTGCTCAGTTACTTTTATACTCAGTAACCCCTTTGTGATTTAGTGGCTTTGTCGCTTTGCTTGGAGTGAAATGAGTTTTAAAAATTGCGTATCAGGTCGATTTTTATTCATTTTCTATGAAAGCTTTCCAAGAATACCTTTTGCCTACCACTGAGATTTAAATATGTCTATTTTTGCAACAAAATTGCGTCTGCTTTATTTGATGCCTTAGCTAAATGTGTTTTCGGCATCGTAATTTCAACAAAGAAGAGAAACTGAATTCGGTATAATTCGGCATAAAAGGAAAGTTTATTTAAAAATATTTAAATACTTCCCGAGTTTTCATGTATGTTTCCTCGTTGCTATTGTCAAATTTAAATAAGTCATTCAATTCTTATCTTTCCTTACATATACGTAAGAAGAAATAAGAAAAAAATGAACGACTTATTCAAATGTGCACAGTACATCGTAATTATTGCCAGTTATTGAATCCCTTCTTAGTGTTATCGATTACATCCTTACCAACACGATGTTTCGATCGTCCCATTTTTGCAACCCTCATCAGGTGTAAGTAATTGATTGATTGATTTTTTTTTATAGTTTATCAACCCATTGCGTGTTATTTAAAACCAAAACATTTTGGATTGTAAGAATATTTTTTCTTTTTTTGCGAGTGAATATTACATTTTTGTAGAGTAAAACTTATTTTTTTACAGGTACAAGTCCTACTATTTAACTCATAGCTGGGGGGAGATGGATTGATACCTTTCACAGAAATATTTGTGAGTAAATAAATGTAACAAACCCGACTGGAATTCGAAAGAAGACAGAAAGTATGGCCATCAGCAAGAGAAAATACTCGGGTTGTAGGTTACAAACTGGAGATGACAACATCAAGCAACTACAGGAGTTTAAATATATGGGAAGTGTTTTAATAAAAGATGAAAAATATGACACCGAAATCCGAACAGGCATTCAATTAGTGAAAGATGCCTTTCAAAAGCCAAGCGAAGTGCCGAGAAACAGAAACATTTCGTCAGAAACAAAAAGAGAATTGAATTGCTCTGTGATATCCATCCTCTTATATGGTAGTGAATACTGGACAATCTCCCCACAGATGAAGAGAAAACTGGAAGCAACAAAGCGACACTGGAAATTCCGTAGAAGTCTTAAAGAAAATGGTAACAGAAAGAACACTTCTACTCAGAATCAAGAAAAGACAGTTGAAATTCCTTGGATACATAATGAGGAAGGAGTGCTTGGAAAACTTAACCCTCACACGGCATATTTAGGGTAAGAAAGATGGGAGAGGGCAGCGGGCCACCCATCTGATGAGCTTTAGGAATAGATGGCGAAATGGAGGGCGAGAACCTTACCGTAGGGAGAAAAACTGCTATGGGCCACGAGGGATGGGAGAGATTCTTCATGCCGTGATGAGAAGAAGAAGAAGAAGAAGAAGAAGAAGAAGAAGAAGAAGAAGAAATAAAGAGTCACTCTTTTCGCTTAGAGAGTTTTTTTTTTCTTTTCTTTTCAGCGGTAAACCGAAATTTTATAAACCTTCGGACAACCAAGAACAAAATGACAAACGTTCCATTTCTTCAATAACGGATACAGCTTACCAAACCTTTCATTGGGAAAATGTTATTTGACCTTGGAATGTGTTGTTTTTTTTAATCATATCGCCCCAAGCAAGGAAATAAAGCCACTAAGACACAAGGGTTTTACTGAGTGTGAGAGAATATAAGAACAAAACACTAATAAGGAGAGAGAACATTAAAAGAATAAGAATTAAGACAATATATAAAGAATGATATTGCATTTAAATTTTTGAAAGTTTTCTGGAAACTAAGAGGCCAGAAGAGAGAAGTTCCAATTACTCTTGTAGACACATACTCATTGCCCACAGGGCCAACTTGCGATTTATATTGCAACTATGCTGAGCATATCTTAGTTACAGTTTCTGGGAGAGAAGCGCATTATATGGCATGATGAACAGTTAGAACAAGGCTAGTACGATAAAACCCTCGGTCACGTTGACTTGTGACTTCGTGCTAGCACAACGATCGATGGCTCCCAAGTAGTTCTGTCTACCCAATTTCACTCACAAGGCATGGGTCAAACCCGTTCGGGAACTTTATAAAGTTTGACCTCCTGATCCAGTTTTCCTCTCTACTGTTCCCTCTTTTTTAAAACTTATTCCCCGTTCTCTTGATGGTTCTTGAATGGACTTTGAAGATGGAGGCCAGAGTATGAATGTTGGTACTATTACTAAAGACCTGAATGATCTTTTTTCCTCTCATCATTGCTCATTTGGGAAGACAGTGATGCTGGCACAAAACGATTTTAACATGTTCTCCTTCTAGGTAAATAACTAAAAGGGTTTTTTCAGTGATTCTTACGACAAATGGTGTCAAGATGGCAAAACGTCTTATCTGAAAACCTGGAAAATAAGAAACTCAATTAGTTTAGTGTTTTTAGATATTAAACATTTTGTGGGATGGACAATTATGCTGTAACACGATTGGGATAATTTTGCTGTTACACCCAGTATACACACACACACACACACACACACACACATATATATATATATATATATAACGAACTTTAAATTACGCTGTCGGTTTTTCAGTTCTAGGACACTCACT